TCTCCCTATCCTCTCTCTTCTCTCTGGATTCCTTTCTGCAGTGGAGTGACCAGAGCTGGACACAGTACTCCGAATTAGGACAGATGCTGACAAACGTAATACCATTGCAATACCATGTTGTTCTCCACGGACATACCCAGTACATTACAGAGAATTAATTTCCAGTTTTCCACCCCGCCTCCTGCCCGATAATGAAGAGCAAGACGAGTCGGTTGTCATACCTGGGAGTGCCAAGGAAGCAGGCACTGACCGCCGCGAGGATGGTGTGAGGAATCGCGTTTAATGTCAGCTGATTAAAGCAGTGGCCGATGCTGCCATGGACCCACAGCGGGAGCGGGTCTTCGGGGCCGGTGCCACACAAGCCCGTCAGGATGTTCTCCATCGCTTGCCGGGAGCTCCTAGGGGAGGAAAGGGAAAGGAACGTGAGGCACGGGCCAAGCTCAGCCCCAGCCGGGGCGGACTGCGATAAGAAGTGAACCTAGGACTGGAAACAGCTTCCTGGAGAGCGCAGTCCAGGCTGGGCTATGTTATCACCCCCCTCTGCACACTGATCAAGCCCCAGCTCGAGTTATGCTGTCTCCTCAGGTCACCCCACACCTCGCAGCTCTGGCAATTTGGGGCTCCCAGCTCGCTTCCCGGCTGAGGATTTCCCTCAGGGCTCACCCCGGGATGCACCCACCCGCCTGCGCCCCTCAGCAAAACACAGCGAGCTGCCCCCACAAGCCCCCATCGCCCTCATCCCTCCACAGGGACTCACACCGGGCCGGGCAGGGCCAGCAGCAGCACTGCCGGCCCTACAACACCCCCGGCCCGCTCGCCCCGGTCCGGCCCGGCCGAGCCCCCCATGCCCGCGCCCCGCCGCCCTCGGGGCCGGGAGCCATGGCGAGGCCCCGGCCCCGCGGCCTGCCCCGGCCCCAAGCCCAACCTCTGCCCCACGCCGTGGCCATGCCCGGCCCAGGCCGCCCCGTGCCCCCCCTGGCGGCGGTAGCTGGGCTCATAAATGGGTGTGAAATCGGGTAAATGCTCGGCTTCCCGTCTGAGGCAACAGCGTGAGAAGACAGCCAGCCCTAACCCCTCCAAATTGCTATACACTAAGTGTGTTCAGTGAAGTCAGCACGCAGCCTGGCAATTGGAGCTGCTGCTAGCGATTTTATGGCAGGTGCTCCAAGTAATTCATTTTCCCAAACCTTCCCTCAGCCATCTCTCTTGCCAGGGAAAATGAGTTCATCCCCACGAGTAATTCATCACAGGTAGCACCATTTTACTTTCAGCACACAGCTCTTCAGAGGGACAATAACTCATTCGCAGAGCTTGGGAGTGTTATCAGCAGGGTGCCAAAAAAGCAAAATGTCAGTGGCATTCCTGTCTAGGAAGACAAAGCAATCCGGTCAGAGGAGAGACAGAAGAGATAAGAGCAAATGCTTAGAGGCCACAGTACCCTCTAATCATAGTTTCCTTAAAAGAAGCAGGAGAGAAAGGCACAGCAGTAAGCAGCTGGCACCACCACAAGGCTTTTGCTGTGAGCTTATAGAGCAGGACAAAGTATGGGAAGACCTGTGAAGGGCATCTGCCATCCCTACAGGAATCCCACACGAGTTCAGAAACTCCTTGCACATCAGGCTGCTCTTCTCTGATCTTGTTCTTGCCACGTGAGAAAAGGTCTTTTTCTTTTGGTCATACTTTGTCAGATTTCCATCTTCTCCACAGATTTTCGGGACCAGGCCCCCACCATCATATCAGAAAATCAGCTTCCAGGTGGAGACTGAAGACACGCTACTCCTGTTCTCAGAGTCCTGCACAGAGACCTAATTGGTGTGAAGACTGTACTACACTACAAAGAGGAACAAGAAGGAAACATTCACTGTGATATTCGTTACTGAGAGCCCTTATTGCCTTACAATATATGTACCTGAAGAGGGGCCAGAATTCCTACTCAGGTGCAGGTCAACCTTCTAGCATAGTGCTGTTTTCCTAAATGTATATATATATATCTTTATATATATATATCTTATTTAATTGTTGTCTTTGAAGATTCTGATTTCTCACCATCCTGAAAGCAATCTTCACTTGTGTGCCAGAGTTGTAAGGCTGCCTTTTTCTGTTCAAGTAAGCTACTGATCTGTACGCTAGGTGCATTTGGATCAGCCCATCCTTCTCCCATAGGCTGTTCAAAGGTTTCTCCAGTAAACCTTCCTGTAGAGGCCTTGATAGCAAGTATTACGTTCTTTACACTCAAAGAAGTCTCCCTTCAAAAAACAAAAGGAGCAAGTTCTTAAAACAGCTCAGATATGAGGATGGAGCATGAGCTGTGCACAAGTGAAACTTTCAGATTTCATTGTTCCAGTATTTTATTTCATTCCAAATGGGGGGAAAAAAGCCTCCCCCTGACTTTGTAAGACGCCAAAGAAGTTCTCAGGTATCATCCCCTGATAAATCCCCTCTCCCTTGAATTACTCCCTCTCAAGAGTTTTTCACTTCAACCACATTGCATTCTGGCGTTCTCATTTTTTGTGCTGCTTCTGCTCACTCATCTCTCCTAACCTCTCTTTTAATGTTCAAAACCATGAACTTCCCCACATGGACTGAAAGATGGACAGCTTTCATGTGCCACTGAGAATATTAATCCAGCCTAACTGATTTGAAATCACAGGTGCTCATTCTGCCTAAATATGTTTAAATACGAGCAAGGCCAGCACCTAAAACATTCCTCATTTTCATGCTTCCTGTTGGCTATTTCCCCTCTTCCCAAATATTGCTGCCTGTGACATTTACTGCTATGTATTTGACTGATTTAAGATGTGCCATGTGAAATACAGGCTTGTGGGTGTATCAGTTACAAAGTACCTTGCATACTATAAATAATCATGCACCTGATATTTATCAAAGAATCAGAGCATTCAAATGGAAAAAAAACACACCAGGTTTGATTTAATCCACCCCCACAGTCCAACTCTGGCTAATAGACAATGAATAAAACCTGACTTGAGTTTTTCAGTCTAGATTGAAATACCTACAATGAGGAAAAGCAATCTGGCAAAGGGAGACTGTCCCCCAATTCTCTTATGAATTTATTTTGTAACAGATTATTTAATACCCCTCCCTGGGCTGGGGAGTCAGAGAAGGAGTGTAGGCTCCATGCCCGTCCCACTTCCCAGCTAAAAGTAAATATTGAACTGAACCAGAAGCCAGTCTAGACAAGCCTGAAATTCAGAAATATCAACCTTGTAATCAGAGATATAAAATCTCTGAAAGCAGTCGTCTATTTGGATGCATTTTCTGTGCTTGCAGCCAGGGTTCTCCTATCAGTGGAACCATCCTCAAACTCCATGACATCATGACCAAGAATGGCTTGATTACTTGGCTCAGCCCAAAATTTTTCATGAATGGGTTGCTTGGCCTGGACCTGAAGACACAACATACATTTTTCACACTGCATTATTATTATTTTTTTCCCTGGAAAGCAAAGTTCAAAATAGAGAGGAGTATCTTCCACTGCACTTTCTCACAAGAATACTAATTTTTATCAAAAAATACAGAAATTGCCTGTCTTCTTACTAGTAACCCAGCATTTTAACACTAGAGGTAGTGCTGCATGGCTGCCTCACACCCCTTGATCTGTTCTTGACTTAGATGTACGAAGGTAAAAAAAAATAAAAATAAAAATAAAAATGTAATTGACACATTTTTCTCTATACTATTTTTTTAACCTCAAATTAACCTGACTTAACATTAGATCTAATTACTGTTTACTTGCTCATATAGAGCTCCTGCTAACTTTTCTTATTCTGTTCTTCTATTTCTCAATGCCTTTTGCTCCTGTGACTTTCTTCCTTGAGGCCAAACAAGAACTCAGAGGCACCTTATTACCCCAGCTTTGCCCTCAGCATCCAATTAGCTAAGCAGCTCCAAGCAGCAGCTAATTGCAAGTTCCTCTGACCGAGATGAGCTTTGGAATTCCAAAGAGCAGTTTGGGAGATGAACTGGTAGCAGAGCAGACTGACTGGCACCTCCTCTGTCCGATGAGAGTCTGGACCATCAGTTGCATGAGTATTGCAAACCTCTACGAAGCAGGTGAGGACCTTGACTCATTTTTGCAAATCCTGGAGCAGACTGTAGCACTTTTTCTTGCAAAGAGATGAGAACCCTCAACTTCCTCTGTGCCATTGGGCCCAAATTTTAGTACTAATCTTAGTATTAATTTAACTGAATTCTAACCGTGAGTCCCTTAAGAACTTGATTCAGTAAGGCATGACGGAAAAAGGACACTAAAGCAGGTACAGAATGAGTCTAGTCGTTATAAAAGGATGTTCAGTAAGATAACAGGGTGCTACAAAATGTCAAGGAGTACTAGTCTGTCAAGTATGTTTCACCAACAAATGGAATTTTTCTCTGACCTTTTATTAAAAAAAAAAAAACAACACACTATAGCACATACACTCTTTGCTTCTTTTTTCCATTCCTCCCTCCCCCAGTTTACTTGCTGGCACATAGAGAAGTTTTAGTGAATTTTCTGATGTCAGTGGCGTCTGGATTCCTTCACCTTCCAAATGCCACTTAAATGTATCACCATAAGCTACCAGGACACCTCCTTTAGACCTCCTTTCGATACAAGGCCAAAAGAAAGTTAACAAGTATTTAAGTGTTCTAAAATTTTGGAGAGATTTTAGATATTATATGCCTACCTTTATAGAGAACCCGACATGAAAAAGAAAAAAGAACGTAGTGGGTTTCCTGGTTTTACGGCTTTTTACCTTTGACTGTTTTGAAATCAAACTGGTTTAACATTTTTTCATAGAATCATAAAGGTTGGAAAAGACCTCCAGGATCACCTGGCCCAACCATCCCTCAACCACCAATATTATCCACTAATGGATTAAGGAAAGCAACAGTGGAAAAGACATCCAACACCAAATGAATCAATTTCCCACCTTTTTAAGGCTGTTTTTACTTATTTCAATCATTGAAACTGAGTACTTACCACAGACACTGAGGCACAAAAATTACACCATTTCTTTTAATGAAAAATCAGAATACATGTGCTAATATATATTCCTTATGGTAAGAAACTGTTTGGACGCCATTTACGGTATAAAACCAGAGGAGAAATCCCCAGAGACACATCAGTTTTGTAGTTCTCATAAAGCACAACCCTGTGCCTATCCAACTGTTACCATCTCTGCTGCTTGGGGTACTTAGCTGGAAAAGGTCCAGTATTAATTGTCTCCACTATCGTTACATTTTCCACACACCAGAAACAGATCTGCAGAATGCTAGGCACTTCAGAGGCAAAATTTATGTCCCATGATACCTGTAATTCAATTAAGGTCACAGATGAACATTAACAACCATGGGAGAGAAGGGGGAAGAGCAGACAATGGTAACGGAAAATAATAGTCTTTATATATCTCCTACCTATTTTGACGACTGGCATAGCTGAGCTTATTTCCTGAGCCTGTGTAGTGGTGCACTCACTCAGAAAATGTCAAGGTGGGGCAGTTACTTTTTGCGTGCAGTTGTACCTAACCGCTTCCAGCAGAAATACCTTGTAGTATTACCAGACAGACCCCCACCCATAAGCCTGATGTTCTTTTTATTTTTACTGCTGTTTTAAGTAGCACGCTTCAAATGGTGTGTTATGTTCTAGCAAATACATTCTCAAAAAAACAAGGATAACATTCCCCCCTTTATCCCAAAGTCTACCAAAAGTGATTAGGTCTTCAAATACAGGGGATTGGGACACCAAAGAATGGCTTGGGTTGGAAGGGACCTCAAAGATCATCTAGTTTCAAACTCTCTGCCATAAGCAAGGATGCGACCCACTAGATCGGGCTGCTCAGGGCCTCATCTAACCTGGTATTGAACACCTCAAAGGATGGGGCACCCACAGCTTCTCCGGGCAACCTTCTCCACTGCCTCACCACCAGCACAGAAAGTAAGCGATATTGACATATAGAGAAAAAATAGGTTTAACAGATAAACCTATTCTAATTCCTAAGCAAGATATAAAGGGCAGTGAATTTGGAAAGTGGATTTTTGTATGGAACCTTCACTTTTTGACGCTTACACCGAACATACCAAGCGCCCAGCTGAGGCGGCAGCCCCCGAGCTCTCCCCCTCAGCCGCCATGCCGCGCCCCGCCCCGCCCCGCCCCGCCCACCCCACGTGACCCCCGCCCGGCGCCCGCCATTTTGTGCGGTCGTCCCCGCCTCCCCCCCCGCCCCTCCCGGGGCTCCCCCCCCCGCCCCCGCCGCTCGGGGCCGCCGGGCTCGGGAGCGCGCCCGGGATAGGCGGCGGCGCGCACGCGCGTGCGCGCGCCGGGCGGGGGGGGGCGGGTGCCCCCGCCGCTGGGCGGGCGGGCAGGCAGGAGGGGAGGGGGGAGATCGGCGGCGGCGGAGAGCGGAGAGAGGAGAGAGGAGGAGGGGGGGGGGGGACGGGTCAGGGGAGCCGGGGCGCCCGCGCAGGCCGCTGGGACCCCCGTGTCGCCGCCATCATGTACCGCTCGGGCAGCGGCCGCTCCGGGCCGTCGTCCTCGTCGTCGTCGTCGTCGTCTTCCTCGCACCGGCTGAAGGAGAGCGGCTCGGCGGGGCCCCGCGCCTCCCGCTCCGGCACCTCGGGGCCGGGGCCGGGCCGCGGCCGGCCTCCCCCTCCTCCCCCTCCTCCTCCTCCTCCTCCTCACCCTCCTCCTCCTTCTTCTCCCTCCGCCGCTTCTCCGCCGCCGCCGCCGCCTCGCCGCCACCGCTCGCCCTCGGGCCACCGCGGCGCCTCCCGCCGCTCCCCATCGCCGCACCGCAGCCGCCGCTTGCCGTCGCCGCCCGGAGGAGCGGGGGGCGGCCGGGGGGGCCGCCGGGGCAGCGAGCACGGAGACGGCAGCGGCCGGGTGAGTAGCGCCGGGCACCCCCCCCTATCCCCCCCTATCCACCGGCTGTCAGGCCGCGGGGAGGCCGCGCCCGGCACCGGGGCCTCGCCCTGCCTGTGTGGGACCCCCCCCAGGTTCTCCCAGAGCCCGGTTGCTGCTTTCCGTTATGTTTTGATTTCTCCCCGGCAGCCAGAGCCATTTTAGATAAGGCGGGGAGGTGAGGCTGGCGGCTGCCCAGGAGGAGGATGCAGCCGGCCTCCCGCCCGGCACCGCCGTGTGTGGTGGGGATCTGCGGGAAGGGTCGCTCCGCAGCCAGGTGTTGAAGCTCTTCCTGCGCCTCTCAGCCTACAGAGGAGGCTCTGGCACGGATCCTTATCTCGAGAGTTACTTTTTGATAGGTGCTGCTCTGTAGGTGCAACTGCGCAAGGTGTTCAGGGCGTCCTACTCAGCCTGACAAAAATCTGACCTGGGCATGTGAAGCTGGGGGGTTGCATCTCAAGTGATGCCATGTCACCTTTTTACTAAACAAAAGTGCGTAGCCGTACTTTTTTATTTTATTTTATTTTTTTTTGAGCGAACGGCATAGAGTTACTTAGGCTTCTTGTTGTCGCTCTTTAGTGCAGCGATCGTCTTTCCGATCACTGTTACCTGTGGTAAGTAGTGGTTTCACTGCGTGTTTCTATTGCACTGAAAGAAGAGATTTTCGTACTGCGATATTTTAGGCAATGGCTCCATGGTCACTTAATCCAGCTTGTGTACGAGTAGAAGGAACGGTACACTCAGTTTTCCCTCTCTGCTGTATATTCTGCCCATTCCCTTGCACTCACACTTGCATTTCTGAAGTTGCAAGGGGAGCTGATTCGAGGATCTGATTTGGCTGAAAGTTAATTCAACAAAAACATGTGGCCTGCTACAATTCGTTGCATGGTAGGACCCCAAACGAGAATGGGGTTGCCCTTTTCTGGTGGTGGTACAGGTTCTTGGAGCTGTAGCCATAGAAGAGATCCCAGGTGAGTGTAGTGGAGTTAAGATTCAGTGAGTGGTGGGCGCTGTTTGGTACTTGAAGGTAATCTGTCCTGATGGAACGGGGAGATAATGTTCTATTTGACAGTTAAGCCGGGCTGAGAAGCTTGCCTCTGGCCTTTTGTTTTTAGGCTGTTGTTTGCTATTAGATCAATCCTATAAATTGTCGGGGGGGGGAGAGCAGTACCCTTGCAAATTGCATTGCTAAGAAGATCCAGGTTGAAAATTAATTTTTAAATAGAATGGATTTTTAATATGGTTCATGTCAGTTTACATTGTAGCTTGATGAACAGTGGCATGGCCACAGTTGAAGGGGTGACAGACTGGGATACAACAGCAGAACTTTCTCAAATTGGTTTCAGCAGCAGCCAGTCAGTCATTTCACTATATCCGTTGTAGGCTGTGAACCTGTGCGGGCTGTAACAAAACTTTTAGTGCCAAATGTGTTGGTGGTTTAGACTTGGAAAAATTTGAACCAGGGTTTTTTGATCTGCAGCCTCCCACTCTTTCTTTAGAAAACAAGCAAACAAATGAGCAAAACCCAACTTTATGCAAACATTATTCCTGACAAACGCTATTCTTCCAGTGTTATTTTGCACCCATCTGGCTTAAGTTGCAGTAGTCTTCACAGCAAATTGTTAGAAATTCTTGATGTTTTTTTTACCAATTCTGATTTCAGGGAAAAAAGGGTAGATAAATTACTCATCTTTGAAATTATGCTCCGGTAAGTTAGCTAGCGCTGAGCTGCTGAGCCAAATAGATTTTTTGATTGCTTACAAGAATGTTACTGTATTAAGGGAAAACCCTTCTCTCTGAAGCAGCTCACACAAGATGAGTTAATGTGAGATGATTTAATATAGCTCTTTAGCGTGAATTTTACATCCTCTGGCATACGCTGAAGCAATTATCAGGCTGTATATTGTGTATATTTTTTCGATGGAAGGTTTTGTCCACCAAAAGGTGCTCAACCATCACTACTAATTTTTAAATGATGTTATAAAGCATAAGATACATGTACAAGACGATTTTATTTTTTAGAACTACTCTTTACAAAATTAACGTTAATTAGAGAAAGATAAAAACTGGGATTATGCAGATGTTTTCCAAAAAGTGGAACTCGGTGTGATCAAACCAAAGTAAACAACTGATATATGGGATCAATGTGATCTAGTAAAGTTTTAATAAAGTTTTCAGACCTACCCCACTTAAAATGCTCTCTCCAGAAGTTTGAGGATGTAAATTGAGGGAGAGTGGAAAGTTACACAAATGTTTTAATAGGTGACATCGTAGATCTGTCATTGAGAGGGGATGAATTCAGATAGAAGACAGAGAAAGAAGGATTTAAGCTGCAGTAAGGAAGGAGGACTTGGAAGAGGGGAGTGTATGCATGACAGCAGAAGATGTAGGACATGGAATGCAGACACTGATGGGATAAGGGGTTAGGGTTGAAAAGTGGAAACATTTTGAGTACAAGCTCTGAGCTACTGTCCCTGCATATGAATTGGAATATTGAAGGAGTAGCCTTTGAGATCCTTACTCCCTTTTCTTGATTCTGGGCATTGCATTGTTGAGATGGAGTGTGTGCCTTTCCCTGGGTATCTGGGGAGTCCCCTGGTATTGTTGTCCTTATGTCTAACTGGGATGTTGACTGTATATTGCACATCAGGAATATGGATGGTAAAAGTCTCTTAGTAGCTGGGGAAACTTTATGGCATTTAGAAGAGCATGGGGTGTCAGAAAAAATTTGGTGCAAGTATTTCAAAATGTGATGGTGAAAAGAATGGTCAGAGCTGCGTGGTGAGGGCATTTGGCAGTTGCAAGGCTGATCAGCGTTCATGCTGCTTGTATCTGTCCCTGCTGGTCTGCGTGCTTGTTCTTTTTATAGTTCTGGTCTGTTCCTTTACCTTCTTGTAAGAAAGTTAGCTGAAATTGGAGGACTGGGATGTTTCGGGTTGGCAGGGGAAGGAGAAATGAAGAGCTGGTATGCAACCTGTGCGTTTATATGGTAATGGTAACTCCTGTTTGGGAGCCAGAGTAGGAAAGGAAGAAAACACAGTACAGGACATGGGTAGGATTGACTAGGAGTGGCACTCCAAATGCAAATGCTGTTAAAACTTGAATTTCTCAAACTCAGGCAAAAAAATGCAACGTTCAAATATGTATCACCTTACCTGCTGTCTCTGGGTGATCTGCATGGTGGTCATACATATCCTGAACTTGCTAAATGTAAACAATTTTCTTTTCTTGCCCAGAATTTTCCTAAAAGATTTAATCACAACTTTTCCATCTCCAGTTCCTGGAGGTGGTTGTAATGTACATGCCCAGCTTGCTGACAGTCTCGATGGCAAGCAGTTGCCTTTCAAGGCAATCGCTTCTCCAGGCAGCCCTCCAAATTCTGCGTTAAACTGGGCACATTTGAGCCTTCAACTCACACCTTCAGCATTCAGCTTCAGCCTTCAGCATTTGTATGAGATGCGTGCACCTTGTGTATGTTGTGTCTCAGTCCGACTGTTCCAGGATAATACTATGCAATACAAAATGATTGCTTTCAAAAAGTCGTTAGAGTGTGTTCTGATAAATGACGGGATTCAGATTAACAGAGAGATATAGAAATCAGTTTGACGTCACCTTAGAATAGGGATACGCACACGATGGATTCTAGTGCAGATTTGTACCAAGTTGATTGTGTTAGGCAAATTTGTGAGGGAATTCTGCTTCCTTGTTGGAGGGTATGTGCTGTTTGTTCGGTCTCTTGGAGCATTGAACTGAATCTGCTGCCTCTTCCCAGGGTGGCCAGGCTGGGTGCAGGCAACGTAGCGCACCTGCAGCTTGCTGCTGCTGTGAAAGCAATATGCAGCGCATGGCTGGTTTGGCAGAACTGAGGCTGGTTCATTGTTTCCTGTTAAGCAGAATATAAATCACGTTGGTTTAAAAAATAATAATAGTCAAGCCTCTCTGTCTTCAGCCAATCTCACCTTCTTCTTCTGGAACTCCGCTTAATTTGATCATTCCTGGAATTCAGTGACAAATTCTAAAAGGAGGTGAAGCATACCTAATTAAGCATAACAGTAATGACATTTTCTGCATTGGGTATGTCTCCAAACGAAGATCTGCGCAGAGGCAGTTAGCTCAGGCGTTCTCTGCTGTGTTTTTTTCCAGGGCAACTTAACTCTGGTTTAGCTTTACTAACAGTGATGAAAATGGGAATTCTGTTGTAGAAGCTGCTTCTACCGCCACTGACATTTTTAGGATTA